TGCAGGCTGGAGGGACAGAAGGGCTCTAGGGGAGCCAGACTGGGCAGGACATTCTGGCAGGGGAAGGGAGCCAGGGGTCAGAGGCCAGGGCCAGCGGCGAGGGGGCCAACGGCCAGCCAAAGTGAGCTGGAGGTCAGCTGTGTCACTTCTGTGTGCCTGTGACCCTGCTCCGCCCTGCCTCCTGTGCAGCCTGCAGCTCGCCTGGGAAGAGGAGCAATCCCCCTGCCCTTGCTCGGGAGGCGCCGGATAAAAACTGCTGAGGAACAGAGGGATGCAGTGATGCGTCCCCAAATCAAGGGGGCGCCCCGAGGAGCCCGTGCCAGCATGCGTTCTCCCGGAGCAGCTACTCCGAGGGCACGCAGGTCACCTCACGGCTCTGCTGAGGCCCAGGACCTCGGCCAGCTGCTGACCCACTGCACCTCAGTCCTGTTCTGGGCCTTGGTTTCCCTAGTTGGCCAGCGAAGGCTGGACTAGGAACTTCCAGACTTTGGACATTCGCAGCACAGTAAAAGGAAGAGGGGAAAACGTTCGGTCATCAGTGTAGCATTGCTAGTTCATTCTGCCAAGAAAGGAGGTCAAAAACGCTTTGTTTTTGTTTTTGTTTTTCTGTAGGACATAAGTTTTAGAAGCAGCCAGCATCTCTGTCCGCATAATTTCCTAAAGGATTTCCTTGGGCTAAAGGCTGGCAGCTCCCATGTCCTCCCTTCTCACTCTGCCGCGGGCCAGTGGCCTGCGCTCAGGCCTGGGGGAGCCCTAGACCCCTCCTCACAGTCCCTCTGGCTCTGTCATTTTACGTCAAGCTCTGTGACCCTCAGGAAAGCCCCGAGAAGAGGCCAGGCAGGACAGAGGCCCCTGGACTGAAAGAGCAAGTGTGGCCACAAAGGTCCCATGAGAAGGCAGGAACAGAGGGAGGCTGGCCTCCTGGCCTCCCGGGGCCTCCGCCTCAGGCCTCTGTACCTGAAACCGAGTGTTCTCTGGTGCACGTTAGGTGCAGGCACGCAGGACCGGCTCCGGGCTTCCCAAAGAACAGGAGTCCCGCAGGCAGTTAAAGGACCAGGGCTTTCTTTCTTTTCTTTTTTTTTTTTTTAATTGAAAATCTCTGTGCAGAGGAGGCTGGTCCTGCCTGTGCCTTCGTCTCTCTCCTGCCACTCTTGTCGTCGCTCCCTCCTTCCCAGGAGGCCCTGTGTGACAAACACAGAGAATGGCCACTGCCACGAGTAGACGATGCCCAGCTTCTCATCTTTGGGGAAGCCGTCATGTGGGCAGCCCACGCGTCAGGCCCTCCGAGGGGTCCGTGGTGGCCGAGCGCTTGCCTCTTTCTTTCCTTTTTAGGAGAGGTTTTTGCTATAGGGCGCATGTGCCTGCCAGAGAGAAAGCGAGAAGTCACCCCAGGGGGATGGCCACACGCCAATCCCTTCTCCTCCATTCTCCCCCTGGGAATCTTGGGCACGCACACACATGCACCCAGTGTGAGTTTTAAGCCACCTGGTACAGGATTTGAACCACGGTCAACTACTTGGGAGTCCAGCAACGTAAACATTTCCCCATCCACTGGTCCATAGTGCTTGATTATTTGAGCAGGTCACTGCCGACTGGCACTGGGCCCTCCCCAGCCAGCTGAGGGTCTTCAGGGGGACAGGCTTCTCCCGGGTGGCAGGCTCTTCCTCAGTGGAGGGTGACAGGTCTGGGGAGACACTGTCCCAGGTCCCAGGAAACCTGCTGTTGGAGCTGTAGGGGTGAGGGGTGAGCCAGGCCCTGTAGGCTACTGTGGGGGCAGGGGCTGAAGAAGGATGTGAAATGGTGACAAGAATCGGTGGAATCTTGGGGCTGACCTTGGGCCATGAGGCTCACACCTCCACTCAGTGAAGGAGAGGAGTGGCACTGTGGAGTGGGGAAGGCCTGACACCGGCAGCGTCCCTCCTGGAGGGTGGGAGCCCCTTGAAGAGCCCCCCTCTGCACACTAGGTGAACCCGCCAGGCCAGCAGCCAGTCCCATGGTCAGAGAACTAGGGGTCCAGAACCCTGGCTTGTGCTTGCCCTTGGTCAGAGCCTTCATCTATTGAAGACGAGGCCGCCACACCTCACCCCTTCTTTCTCCTGGAGACCTGTGGACAGTGGTCCTGGGCCTGCTGCGACCTCCCCAGGGAGGCTGTGGGTGAGGCTGATGGGTCTCGTCTTCCAGTAGCTCTGGGTAGGTAGGGGTGAGGAGGCTGGTCAGGCCTGGCCCACTGGGCCTCATTCTGGGACCCAACTGGGACCCTCGGCAAGTCTTCCCATCTCGGGACGTCCCTGGCCTCAGGTGTGGAATGGTCTTGGCTTTGGCGATCCCAGGTTGCTCTTGCTCCGACTGTCTGGGTCCCCTAGAAGGCACTTACGGCCATGGGGCAGAGCAGGGGGAGATGGGTGGCAAAGGAAGAGCTCTCTGAAAACTGCTTATAGGCCAGAGGCACAGCGGGCCCCAGCCCCCTCGGCAACTCTGGGGGAGGAGACACAGAGGGCCTGGGACCCCAGCTAGCTATGACCTTCAGAGCACCCATGCTGCATCAGAGGCCTCGCCTTCGCGACCAGTTAGGCCTTCAGAGTGATGGCTCTCCCTGCTCCCATTTTCCAGATGAGGACACCGAGGTTTGGAGCGGCCAATAACTTGCCCAAGTCTCACGCGAGGACTGTGGGGCTCAGGGAGCTCCTTTGTGGGGGGAGAGCGAGGGGACAGGGAGAGGAACAGGAGTCCGGGTGGGGCAACCGCGGGGGAGGAGGTGGGGGCAGGGTGCACTCTCCCTGGACTGGGAGAGGGAGTTTCTCCCGGGAAGAGGCAGGCTCTGAAGCTGTTGATCTCTAAATTACAGCGTTGGCGCGCACCGGTTGCTGCAGCAACCGAGTTGTCCTGAACCGGGGAAGTGTATAAACATTGCACAGATGCACAATTAGATCAGGAAGAAGAATAGAACAGAAAATAGAAACTCCAGCCTTATATAATTCTGGGCCAAAACGTTATCGGGAGCCCAGGCCCGGTCCTGGCCCTGCCAAACCTCTGGGCTTGGGCAGTACCATCTCTCTCCTGGGGACCCAGTGCCAGGGAGGGGTGGGGCGAGGGTCTGCCCTCCATGGGCAGCTGATGTGCCCGCTCCCCGGCGGGGCGGGGGCCTCCCCCGCTGGAACAGCTGGGCACACTGACAGCAGCTCCGGGGACGGGGGAAGCAGGAAGGCAGAGGCTGGTTTACCAGAGTCCTCCTGTCTCCTTAGACTGCAGCCAGGAGGCAGGGAGTTTGGGTCTGCACCTCACCCATGAAGACATTGAGGCTCTGAGAGAGAGGCAGATGTGTCCCGGGGACGTAGCTAGACAGCAGCAGGCGTCGCTGATGTTGATACTAACTGAATTTGGATCTGCTGTTCGTCAGCTGTGTGGCCTGAGGCAGGTCACACTCCCTCTCTGAGCCATCTGTGACGTGGCATAGCAATGCCTACCTAGGAGGCAAGGCTCGGGCTCCCCGTCCTTTGTCTTGTCCACCTCATTGGATTCTGCACCTGCCACTGCCCCCCAGCAGATGTGGGGACAGGACAGGAATCTGAGCCTTAGGGACCCAAAGCAATGCTGGGAGAGAAGAGTCCGAGAGGAGTTTGGACTGAGGTCCCAGGCTGCCCACTGGGACTTCCCACCACGATGGGAATGGCCAGTATCTCTTCTGTCCGGAATGGTGGCCACTGGCCACGTGTGGCCACTGAGCACGTGACATATGCAAAGGAGAAGCTGAAGCTCATGCGTTTTGCCTAATTTTCACTCGGTGCAGAGCCGCAGGTGGCCAGTGGTTACGGCACCAGACAGCACAGGAGGACGGCAGCGCCCAGAGCCCTGAGAATGCAGAGGCTGCACCTGGGGGAGGGACAGAGCATCCACAGGGCATCATGAGCAGAACAGATGATAGGAGGGTGGAGCCGAGATGGACATCAGGAAGCTTCTAGAACGGTGGTCAAGGGAGGGGGGGAGGGGCAGGGACAAGGACCTGGATCCTGATGGCCTTACTTTGTGGTTGAACAGACCCCAGTACTGAAGCTGGGCCAGCCTCAGGGACTCTGGCTTGGGTCCTGTCATCAGCGCCACCTCCGCCGTGACATCCCGCCTAGCAGGACAGTGGCAGGCTGGGTTCTGGCTGGCTGTCCTGTGCTGTGTGTCGTGCTGTCTGGCCTCTCACTCTCTGGTTCTCCTCCCCAGGCCCTGCATCTTCCCAGGTGACCAGGACGGCTTCAGGACATGCACGGGCACAGCCGCAACGGGCAGGCCCACGTGCCCCGGCGGAAACGCCGCAACCGCTTCGTCAAGAAGAACGGCCAGTGCAACGTCTACTTCGCCAACCTGAGCAACAAGTCTCAGCGCTACATGGCGGACATCTTCACCACCTGCGTGGACACGCGCTGGCGCTACATGCTCCTCATCTTCTCCGCGGCCTTCCTCGTCTCCTGGCTCTTTTTTGGCCTGCTCTTCTGGTGCATCGCCTTCTTCCACGGTGACCTGGAGCCCAGTCCGGCGCCCGCGACAGGGGGCCCGGGGGGCAGTGGCGGGGCGGCCCCGGCAGCCCCCAAGCCCTGCATCATGCACGTGAACGGCTTTCTGGGCGCCTTCCTGTTCTCGGTGGAGACGCAGACGACCATCGGCTACGGGGTCCGGGGCGGGGCGGGGGGCTGTCCGTCATCGCCGTGGTGGTCCAGTCCATCGTGGGCTGCGTCATCGACTCCTTCATGATCGGTACCATCATGGCCAAGATGGCGCGGCCCAAGAAGCGGGCGCAGACGCTGCTGTTCAGCCACCACGCGGTCATCTCGGTGCGGGACGGCAAGCTCTGCCTGATGTGGCGCGTGGGCAACCTGCGCAAGAGCCACATCGTGGAGGCGCACGTGCGGGCCCAGCTCATCAAGCCCTACATGACGCAGGAGGGCGAGTACCTGCCCCTGGACCAGCGGGACCTCAACGTGGGCTACGACATCGGCCTGGACCGCATCTTCCTGGTGTCGCCCATCATCATCGTCCACGAGATTGACGAGGACAGCCCGCTCTACGGCATGGGCAAGGAGGAGCTGGAGTCGGAGGACTTCGAGATCGTGGTCATCCTCGAGGGCATGGTGGAGGCCACAGCCATGACCACCCAGGCCCGCAGCTCCTACCTGGCCAGCGAGATCCTGTGGGGCCACCGCTTCGAGCCCGTGGTCTTCGAGGAGAAGAGCCACTACAAGGTGGACTACTCACGCTTCCACAAGACCTACGAGGTGGCCGGCACGCCCTGCTGCTCGGCGCGGGAGCTGCAGGAGAGCAAGATCACGGTGCTGCCCGCCCCGCCGCCCCCGCCCAGTGCCTTCTGCTACGAGAACGAGCTGGCCCTCATGAGCCAGGAGGAAGAGGAGATGGAGGAGGAGGCTGCGGCTGGCGCCGCCTGGCCGCAGGCCTGGGCCTGGAGGCAGGCTCCAAGGAGGAGGCGGGCATCATCCGGATGCTGGAGTTTGGCAGCCACCTCGACCTGGAGCGCATGCAAGCCACACTCCCACTGGACAACATCTCCTACCGTAGGGAATCCGCCATCTGACCTCCAGGCCCTGCCCGCCTCACTTCCAGAGCCTCTGCTTGGGGGCAGGGACAGGACACCCCTCCCTCACTCAGGACAGAGCTGAACTGGCTCCAGGACCTTCCAGAGGCAGGAAGGGCCTC